ATACTGTCATATAAGGGTTTTAATAGTAACCTACATCTGTTTGCTGTTTCTGTGCTTTGATGGTAAGTGCACTCCCATGCTCACCCTAAGATGCCAACACACCTGGGACGCTTTTGAGTCACCAACACCCATGGTTTGAAACTTTATTGAGTCAGATTTTGCCAATCTTGCAACTATTTACATGACATTGGTCATTTGTATGTATTGTTTATTATTTAATTAGTTTTCACATTTAGAAATCTTGTTTTGATTCCTTCAATCTCCTGAAGAAGCAACATTACATGGAATAAAACAATGGATATACGAGCGCTGGGTAACATAGAGTAAATATATAAAATCAGCCGCCAGCAGAAAAGGAGGAAATACCTGAATCCTCTAATGGAATGTACAATAATCAATAAAATGCAGCGCTTGATATTGCAGATAAAAATGACATAAATGGATGAATAAGTAAAAGTCTTAAAGAGTGCAACGTGTCAATCGTGATTCTTTAGATGGCTGTTAAATTATCGTGACTTCCGTGGTTCGTGAGAAGTGAGTATACAATGCACTAACCAGATAGCACAAGGTTTTGTGCGTTGGAGTAAATAAGACCTACTCCAAAGGTACTCTGGGAACCGGAACTCTGCAAACAGGTGAAGTCGTCGGGTGGGGTTGAGTCACCAGATATCATCAGACCAGTGCAGATTTCCTCATTCCAGTATAATGTGTGATCATCACATTGGATACATCATGCAGTATGGATTTCAGCCACCAGGGGGATCATGTACTTTAGTGTAAGTCTCCTACCATGGAGCACCTTAAGGGAGGGGGGCTCATGATTTCCAAAAAATGAGCCCAGAGAGAGAGAAAACTCCAATAGTGTAGTATTTATTATAACAGAAGGAGTTACAATTGCAAGCAGGGAAAAAAATGGAAAAAAGAACTGACACTTACATCCAGAGGTAATAAGGTTAGCATGTAGGTCAATAAGCCTTGTACAGGGGGGTCCTCCTGACGCGTTTCAAGTACATACTCGTTTTCAGAGGGGGAGAGGGCCCTGTATTTGTTGATCGTATATATATGGACAGGTAAATAGGCGCGCATGCGCTCTATCGTGGCCCCGCGTCACCGCGGGCTCCCCACGCATGCGCACTGAGAGTTTCGCGGTGGCCATTTTGCCAGCTATAGTATCTAGAGCACGATTACGAGTCGCGCATGCGCAATTGGCCCTTGCTTTGGCCATTTTGCTGTGGATCTCGAGCTCACAGGAGGGATATGATCCATGTAGTGGACTCTGTATCATGTATAAGATCTATGGTGGTATTCATAATTTGGCCATAGATAATGAGTTAAAGACCCTCCACTGACCCCAGGGTATTAATGGGGGAATGAAAAGTACTATAGATATAAATAATAGGTAATAGATGGCGATGAGCCGTGATGACACTGCCATCTAGTGAGTGTGGACAGAATGGTACATAATCAAATACTGATCAGATTACAGAGGTATTCTCTATTATCCTGATTATATATAAATATAAATGGTATTAAAAACAGAAATGGATACAATAGAGAGAAACATACATATAATATATAGTCCACATCGAAAATAAAAATAGAAATAAAAACTCCCATAAAATAGTACGATTAAAACAATAAGTACATAAATAAATGCATATACATTGTGGCAAATGGACATAAAAGGGAGTAATTGATAAGAAATGTAATATATGGTAATCGATAAAAACAAGTATCAGTAAAATAGAAATTCACCAGTATAATAAATATGGGACAAACCGTATGTGTTAATATATCTAAAATGATTAGATTCCATGAAACATGGTGAAGAAAAGAAAACTTGGACTCCCCTTTTAATATATATAATCAATCTTTTGAGAGTGTTCTTTTACACCTCTGCTTCACCACCTCAAGAGGAGTTCTCTTTGATGCATATTGATGGCATGGCAATTTTAATTCTGTTTGCTTTTCTAAAAATGTTGTTTTTTATGATGCATATGTGATGGGATTGGCATGAATTTAAAATTCTGTCATTGCTTTGCTCTACTATTTTGTTTAATTTTGTTACATGCAGGGAGGAAAAAAAATGGACTTAATTGTTTTTAATATATGTCATGTGACTCCATAGAGTGCCTTTGAAGTTCAACCATCTCTTTTAGTTTTGTCTCTATATGTGCCATAGGATGTGGTGCCCCCTTATTGTGTTATAAGGTGGGTCTCTATTGCTTCCTCCCTATAGAGACTCTGTTTAATGTTTTTCATGCTCTGTCACTAATGTTGTCACATGGAGGTTGGAAGAGAGTCATCTGCCCTGTGTATGCTCTAACTAGCATTGACCTGGAGCTTAGACACCATTTATTTCTCCTGGCAGCAATAAGAAAAGGAGACAAAGTGAAAGACCAGCTTGTATAAGCTGCTGTAGGGGCTGGCTTTAAAGTGAGTTTTTTGCCTTTCCCTGCACAAAGAACAAATTAACTTTAAAAACATTTCACAGAATATCTGAACATATTTTACTTAAGATACCTGGCATTTCATGTTTGTTGAAAGGTTGCAAACTCAAATTAACAATAAATGGAGCAGCTATCAACATCCCATATGCTCTCTATAGTAAAGTATGCCTCACTCCCCATTCACCCTGATTGCCTAACTTGACTTGATTTTTGCAGACTAGTCACATTATTAACACAGCCACTCAAAATTGCAATGTTTGTTCAAAATTGCTTTAATGAAATGATCTGATTTTATGCTAAGGAAAAAGCTGCACAATTTAAATGTCATACCATGTAATATGGTGAACATAAAGAGAGCCAAACTTGTCCCCCATTTGTTAACAATGAATAAATGATAATTACAATTGTCACAATACTGTGATATATAAAGTAAAAGAGAATGATTCCTCTTTAAAGAAGACAAAAAGCTATGACTGGCTGGAAATATATATTTAAAATTGTATCTACTTTGCACAGTTGGCCTATTTTGTTGCAAGTGATGTGAATCAAAGTGAAACTCTGCCATTGCACTTTGTAAATGTCATTTTGGAAGTTTTTTTCCAAACATGACATTCTAAATAACCAATCCCGTTCACACATATTAAGCAAACATAAGTTGCTATGGAAACCTTTAATGTCACTGGAATAAAGTAAAGATAAAAAGGTACCTCAATATCATTTTAACTATAGAAACAATTCATTCAAAAACCTTGACTCTCTTTGTATGCTATTACAAAACAATATTTCTAAAAAAATGTTCTTTCTAAAGGATGACACATTTTGATTTCCTTAAAAAGGCTTATAAGTGTACTTTATTGTTAATTGATATCTTAAAGCGTGTACATATTTATCTTATTTGTTATCTGTAGTCTATCTCAGCTACACTATAACAATCATTCTCAGCATATTTTACCCATTAAAAAAACCTGAACCCCTTTAGAAGAGTGAACCCAGTCAATCAAATCAGTTGAATCTGTCAATCAAATACATTGCCAGGATATGTTTTGCCAATTCCAGCAATAGGCAAGTAAACATGATAAATATAAACATTTATAAGAAAATTGCTATCAGATAAGGACCCTTTCACACTGGCATGATGCAGTTTGACTACACCGTGTGTGTACCACAGTGTACCTGCGGGTATGGTGCTGATTAGCTGTGTTATCCCATAGAATTCTATTATATGCCATGGTTTTAGTGCACTCTCTCAAAGTGCAACAAAAGTCCAGCATGCAGGACTTTTGTTGAGCTTTCAGGAAGTGCACCAAAACCATGGGGCATAAAGGAACTCTATGGAAAAGACCAGATAACCTGCACCAAACCCAGATGTACACTGCACTATACCTGTGGTGGTGTCAAACCGCACAGCATTAGTGTGAAAGGAGTCTTAGCTTGAAACTTTTATGACAGAAGAGACATGAAAAGCCTACCTGTTAGCAATGTTTTAAAAATACTTTAGTATGAAAAGATTTCATTCTCACTACATAAATTATATACATTGTATATAATTGCATTTTGTATATGAAGGTTTTTAAAAAATTCAAATATAACTTCTTTGAAAGATGACAACTTCTGTAACTCTATGTACTATATGTCTACAGAATTTTCAAAGAAGTGTTTTTCCTGTGTGCCTAACTCACTGTTTTCACAAGAAGTCAGAACTTACAGTAACCTCTTGCAAAAAGAATTGCATTTTTGATAAAACTTTCTAAGGTAATTCCTCACTTAAAAGGAGACAGTCACTGCTGCATTTGATATTACAACACTGAAACTGATCGGCTAGTTAATATGCAATCAGTCTGAGAAAAAGAGTAAAAAGGATGAAGTACTGCGGAACAGTTGTGGGAATCTGCAAAAAAAAGGTTAGCTAAAATTCTTGGTCTATATACACTATATTGCCAAAAGTATTGTGATGCTAGCATTCCAGTCTAAGTCCATAGTGTTCAATATTGAGATGACCCACCCATTGCAGCTATAACAGCTGCAACTCTTCTGGGAAGGCTGTCCACAAGGTTTAGGACTGTGTCTACGGGAATGTTTGACCATTGTTCCAGAAGCGCATTTTTGAGGTCAGGCACTAATGTCAGACAAGAAGGCCAGGCTCGCAGTCTTTGCTCTAATTCATCCCAAATGTGTTCTATTGATCAGTTTGATCAATGTGGTGTTCTATTGATTGGTTGAGGTCTGGACTCTGCAGGCCAGTCAGGTTCCTCCACCACTAACTCGCACATCCATGTCTTTATGGACCTTGCTTTGTGCACTAGTGCACATTCATGTTGGAACAGGAAGGGGCCATCCTCAACCTGTTCCCACAAAGTTGGGAGAATAAAATTGTCCAATATGGCTTGGTATGCTGATGCTCTAATTCATCTCAAAGGTGTTCTATCGGATTGAGGTCAGAGCTCTGTGCAGGTCAATCAAGTTCCTCCACCCTATACTCACTCATCCATGCTTTGTGCACTGGTGCGCAGTCACTGCAAAAAAACACTGCATAATAGAAGTATACACTGGGAAGGGGCCATCCCTAAACTGTTCCCACAAAGTTGGTAGCATTAAATTGTCCAAAATGTCTTGGTATGCTGACGCCCTAAGAGTTGACCTTCACTGGAACTAAGGGGCCAAGCCCAACCTCTGAAAAACAACCTCACACCATAATCCCCCCTCCACCAAACTTTACACTTGGCACGCTGCAGTCAGGTAAGTACTGTTCTCCTGGCAACCACCAAACCCAGGCACGTCAGTCGGATTGCCAGACAGAGAAGCGTGATTCATCACTTCAGAGGACACATTTCCATTGCTCTAGAGTCCAGTGGCGGTGTGCTTTACACCACTGCATCCAACGCTTTTCATCCCACTTGGTGATGTAAAGCTTGGATGCAGCTGCCCGGCCATGGAAACCCATTCCATGAAGCTCTCTATGCACTGTTGTTGTGCTAATATGAAGGCCACACAAAGTTTGGAGGTCTTTAGCTAATGACTCTGGAAATAGTTGGTGACTTCTGACCTCTGCACTCTGTGCACTTTAGCATGCGCTGATTTTGCTCTGTCATTTTATGTGGCCTACCATTTCGTGGCTGAGTTGCTGTTGTTCCCAGTTACTTCCACTTTCTTATTATACCACTAACAGTTGACTGTGGAATATTTAGTAGCAAGGAAATTTCACAGATGGACTTATTGCACCGGTGGCAACCTATCAAAGTACCACGCTTGAATTCACTGAGCTCCTGGGAGCGACCCATTCTTTCACAAATGTCTGTAGGTGCTTACTTTAATACACCTGTGGCCATGGAGGTGATTGGAACACCTGATTTTAATGATTTAAAGGGGTGTCCCAATATTTTTGGCATAATAGTGTATATGTCAGGAATGGACTGGCCAGCAATAGTGGGACTCACCTGCCTTATGAGCTGCAGTACCAGGGCTGGCCAGCGGGTGCTCCCAGCAATCAGAGACTCAACCTTGCAGCCAGTCAAACACCTGGAACTAATTATACTGGTGTATTTAAGGGACATTCAGACCTGCAGACTCTGCCTTGGTGTTGTGTTTCTCCTGGGCCCTGTTTCCTGTTCCCTGTTCCTGGTCCTGTTCCTGTCTGATTCTCTGCTGACCCTGCTCTGATCCCTGGCTTGTCTGACCATTCTCCTGCTCCTGATCCCTGGCTTGTCTGACCATTCTCCTCTGCCTGACCCTCTGTACCACTCTGCCTGCTACCTGCTGAACCTGGCTTGTGACCCCGACCATTCTCCGCTTGCTCCCCCTGTACCTACCTGCCCGATTGATATTGACCCGGCCTGCCTGACGACGCTTGCATTGTATGTACTGTTATCTGTGGGTGGTTGGTTTGGTTTGTTTGCACTGTGTTATGTTTTAGTATTGCACTGCGTTTATGTTTGTATTGTTAGTGTTAATAAATTACATTGTTTATAACATATCTGAAGTCTGCGTTTCCCTGCGTCAGTCACACACCTCTGGTCATACCCGGGAGCCCTGACATTACACCAAGGCCAATCCTGACCAGAAGTGGCTGCACAGGGAAGCCATCTTGGTTTGTTGATGGGAAGGATGGATCTTGATGAGTTGTGTATTTATATCTGCTAGTGTTTGATGACAGAGAGTATGCTTATCAAACTCTGAAGGAGTATCCCCGGGATGAACTGCTAGAATGTATACGGCTCGCTCATGTTCTAGTAGATCAGGGCACAGAATTCTCTGAGGTGCAGCCATTGATTCAGATTTGTGCGGAGTTGGTTTCATCTGGTAACCCCGAATGCAGGGATGAATTTTTGCCGCCATTTAGTGCCGACGAGGTAGAGTCCCTGGTATGGTTATTAGAGGATGATGTGGATTGCTTCTTGGAGCATTATGCTGCATGTTCACCACAGACACTAAGAGATTGTATAAACGCAGTGCAGTCTTTGGTCAGACAGGCTTTGTGTAAGCTCAGCTTTGTTCAACCCATACTGCAGACATGGACAGATTTGTTGCACCCAGCCTCAGTCAGCTTACAAAAACCCAGTCCTGCTTCTAATCTATTTCCTCAAAGCTCTATTCCTGCATTCCCAACAGCTCCTCCTGCCCTGCTATCTACCGCATGTCAGTACCCTGTTCCCACTCGCTGCACCTATCCTGCCTTTAACCCTGTAAAAAAGCCCTCTGTAGCAACTGCTCCCTCTCCTGTTCCATCCTCCAGTTCTTCTCTGTCTCCAGCTGCTCCATTCGTTTGCAGACCTGCGTTTACTTGCAGTGCTCCAGTAGTTAAAACCAGAAAAAAGCGAAAATTCTTTCCAACCAATACCATCCTGCCAGTATCCAAACCGGTGAACCTGCCTTCCGTGGTTCAGCCTGAATCCTCTACTCAGCCTGAATCCTCTACTCAGCCTGATGCCTGTACGCAGCCTGATGCCTCTACTCAGCCTGATGCCTCTATTCGGCCTGATGCCTCTATTCGGCCTGATGCCTCTACTCGGCCTGAAGCCTCTACTCGGCCTGAAGCCTCTACTCGGCCTGAAGCCTGTACTCGGCCTGAAGCCTGTACTCGGCCTGAAGCCTCTACTCAGCCTGAAGCCTCTACTCAGCCGGACGCCTGCATTCAGCCTAATGCCTCTACCCAGCATGATGAACTGATCCAGCCTGACGATCCTATTAGGCCAGTTGACTCGATGCCCGCTGTTGATCCAGATGATCCGGTACCTGATCCGGTGCCCGCTGTCGTGCCAATTGACTCAGAGCCCGCTGTCGTACCTGGTGACTCGGTGCCCACTGCCTTGCCAGATGACGCGGTGCCCGCTGGTGAGCCAAATGACCTGATGCCTGGTGACCCAGTGCCCGCTGTCATACCTGGTGACCCGATGCCCGCTGTCGAGCCAGACAATCCGGTACCTGATGACCCGGTGCCCGCTGCCGTGCCAATTGAGTCAGAGCCCACTGTCGTGCCTGGTGATTCGGTGCCCGCAGTCTTGCCAGACGACTCGACTCGGTGCCGCTGTCTTGCCAGACGACTCGGTGCCCGCAGTCTTGCCAGACGACTCGGTACCCGCAGTCTTGCCAGACGACTCGAAGCCCGCTGTTCCGCCAGTTGACTCGATGCCCGCTGTTCCGCCAGACGACTCGGTGCCCGCAGTCTTGCCAGACGACTCGGTGCCCGCAGTCTTGCCAGACGACTCGAAGCCCGCTGTTCCGCCAGTTGACTCGATGCCCGCTGTTCCGCCAGACGACTCGGTGCCCGCAGTCTTGCCAGACGACTCGGTGCCCGCAGTCTTGCCAGACGACTCGATGCCCGCAGTCTTGCCAGACGACTCGGTGCCGCAGTCTTGCCAGACGACTCGGTGCCCGCAGTCTTGCCAGACGACTCGGTGCCCGCAGTCTTGCCAGACGACTCGGTGCCGCAGTCTTGCCAGACGACTCGGTGCCCGCAGTCTTGCCAGACGACTCGGTGCCCGCAGTCTTGCCAGACGACTCGGTGCCCGCTGTTCCGCCAGTTGACTCGATGCCCGCTGTTCCGCCAGGTGACTCGGTGCCCGCAGTCTTGCCAGACGACTCGGTGCCCGCAGTCTTGCCAGACGACTCGGTGCCCGCTGTCCTGCCAGTTGACTCGGTGCCCGCAGTCTTGCCAGGCGACTCGGTGCCCGCAGTCTTGCCAGACGACTCGGTGCCCGCAGTCTTGCCAGACGGCTCGGTGCCCGCAGTCTTGCCAGACGACTCGAAGCCCGCTGTTCCACAAGTTGGCTCGGTGCCCGCAGTCTTGCCAGTTGACTCGGTGCCCGCAGTCTTGCCAGTTGACTCAGGTGACTCGGTGCGGAGCCCACTGTCGTGCCGCGGCTGGTGACTGCCCGGTGCCGCCGCTCCGCCTGGGGGCCCGAGACTGTCGCTCCGCCTGGGGTCGGTGCCCGGTGCCAGTTGACCGCCGCTCCGCCTGGGGGCCTGAGAGACCTGTCGCTCCGAGCCCACTCCGCCTGGGGGCCCGAGCTGTCGCTCCGCCTGGGGGCCTGAGACCTGTCGCTCCGCCGCCTGGGGGTCCCTGAGACCTGTCGCTCCGCCTGGGGGCCTGAGACCTGTCGCTCCGCCTGGGGGGCGCCGAGACCGTCGCCCCGCCTGGGGGCCCGAGACCTGTCGCTCCGCCCCTGAGACCTGCGCTCCGCCTGGGGGCCCGAGACCTGTCGCTCCGCCTGGGGGTCCGGCGCCCGCCGCTCCGCCTGGGGGCCCGAGACCTGTTGCTCTGCCTGGGGGCCCGGCGCCCGCCGCTCCGCTTGGGGGCCCGATGCCTGTAGCCCGCCTGGGGGCCCGATGCCTGTAGCCCCGCCTGGGGGCCCGATGCCTGTCGCCCCTCCTGGGGGCCCGATGCCTGTCGCCCCGCCTGGGGGCCCGATGCCTGTCGCCCCTCCTGGGGGCCCGGCGCCCGCCGCTCCGCTTGGGGGCCCGATGCCTGTCGCCCCGCGGGGGGCCCGATGCCTGTCGCCTCTCCTGGGGGCCCGGCGCCCGCTTCGCTCCCGCTTGGGGGCCCGATGCCTGTCGCCCCACCTGGGGGCCCGATGCCTGTCGCCCCGCCTGGGGGCCTGGTGCCTGCTGCTTCACCTGCCCGGTGTGCCCTGCCCGGAGTGCCGCTGCCCCCGTCCTGCCCTTGTGCCAGTCTTTGATATCCCGCCAGTTTTACCAGAACCCACGGGCGGTGGAACATTTGCCCAGCTAGAGACTGTCTTTGGAGCGTCCTGAGGCCGCTCCTTGAGGGGGTACTTGGGGGTACTCTGCCCAGAGTCCAGGTCCGAACTATGAACTCCGACCTAGGCTGGCCAGCAATAGTGGTCCGATGTCGGCCTCACCTGCCTTATGAGCTGCAGTACCAGGGCTGGCCATGCCGGAGTACCGGGTGCTCCCAGCAATCAGAGACTCAACCTTGGCAATGCCAGTCAAACGCCTAACTAATTATACTGGACTATTAGATAGCCTAGTATAGATATCTCAGGATGGAGTCAGTTACGGTGGATATTAGGGACATTCAGACCTGCAGACTCTGCCTTGGTGTTGTAAATGGATTCTCCTGGCCCTGTTTTCCTGGTTCCCTGTTCCTGGTCCTGGTTCCTGTCTCCCAGATTCTCTGCTGACCCTGCTCTGATCCCTGGCTTGTCTGACCATCTCCTGCTCCTGATCCCTGGCTTGTCTGTGTTTACGACCATTCTCCTATCCTCCTCTGCTCCCTGACCCTCTGTACCTACTGCTCTGCTCCGCTACCCGATCGCACTGCATGCTGAATCCGCTGGTGCCTGACCCCTGCTACCTTCTCCGAGCTTGATGACCCTCGCGATGCCATCTCCGCCTTGCCCCTGTACCTAGGCCTGCTGTGAATTACACCATGCTCCGATTGATATTGACCCGGCCTGGCCTGACGACGCTTGCATTGTATTTTTACTGTTATCTGTGGAGGTGGTTGGTTTGGTTGTTTGCACTGTGTTATGTTTTAGTATTAGCACTGCGTTTATGTTTGTATTGTTATGTTAATAAATTACATTGTTTATAACATATCTGAAGTCTGCGTTTTTTCCCTGCGTCAGTCACATACCTCTGGTCATACCCGGGAGCCCTGACAGTATATATATATATATATATATTTTATATATACACACACACACAGTATATACATATTTCTGTGTAGCAGATATAAGAAGCGCCACAGAAAATGCTAAAAATAAATCAAATAATAAGCAGCACCTCTAACCAAAAAAGGTAAAATAGTGTACAAATAAAAAGTGCGCTAAATATTCACAAAACATGCAAGGATAAATAAAAATAAATGAATTCATATATATAAAACATAAGTCCAGCCACCATAACAGTGATAGTCCAATATCAACATAATGTCAATCTTGAAAACAAACACCCATGTGCAAATCACGAACACGCAGATGAAATGAATACACTCACCAGAGCTATATGCTGATTATATTATAACACCAGCCATGATAGCAATTTTGCTCTGGGAGCGATGATCTGCAGAATATCCCAGTAGAGGAACAGCAACCAATAGTGATCCAATCAGCACATATGGAACAGACTAGGCAGCACATATGGAACAGTTAAAAAAGCAGCAAAATGATCTTCCAATAACATGGGCAAAGCTCGAGGAATAAGAAGAGATATGATGGTGCAGTACGTTTAAAAACCAGTAAAATGTTATGAAGTATTGCACTCACAAAGAAGGTGTCTAGCCGACACCAGCAATGACAGCCTCTAAAATGCCACACCCACAAGGAAAAACCAAGGGACAAACCTCCTGCACTGCGATCAAACAGCAGACAGCTGGGAGGAAATGTTCCAACGTCACATCCACTAGGCCAGGCCCAATGCGTTTTCGTCACTTGACGTCTTCAAGGGGCGGGCGGAGAGGACGTCAAGTGACAAAACGCGTTGGCCTGGCTAGTGGATGTGACGTTGGAACGTTCCTCCCAGCTATGTGGCACTGATAGGCAACTGATAGATGAGGCACTGATAGGCAACAGTGAAGGGCACTAATAGGTAGCACTGAAGGGCATTGACTAGCGGAACTGCTGGGCAGTTACTGTTGGGAACGTATGACAGCACTGTTAGCACTGCTGGGCAGCACTGCTAGCACTGATGGCAGAATGTGTTGGTCACTTTTGGGCTGCACTGATAATCAGTGCCCTGATTATTAGTACAGATGTCCGCTTTGACAGTTGCCGGTTACTGTGACAGTGTGAGCAAAAGTACTAGGATGCCGATAACTGGCAAGTGTATTTACATAGCGGTCACAGCTGTGATTGGACACAGCTTATCACATGGCAAAAGGCTGATGTGATTGACCTTTTACCCATGTCATGTGATCAGCTGTGTCCAAAGGACACAGCGATCACAGACAGTGCCGGGTGTGCGCTGCTTGGGGTGTGCGAGGGGCACATTCTGGGATTGATGTCATATGACGCACTCCCAGAACTGGACTACCGTGCTATAGCTGTCATTCGACAATAGCCCAGTAGTAAAGTGGTTAAAGTATATATGGTGGGGGGGGGGGTGGGGGGGGGAGGGTAGGAGGGGAGTGGGAGGAGGAGGGGAGGGGGGAGGTGGGGGGGTGGAGGTGGTCGGTGTGGGTGAGGTGGGTGGCGGGGGTTAGTAGTTTGGGGGTAGATCTCTGCAGGAAAACAAACCATTCAATGAGCTGCCACCAAACAAGGTAATATAGGACAATAGCAAGAGAAATGGAAAAAGGAGGCACTTTTTTTTATACAATCCTGATATTTATCTGAAAAGGAATGTTTTCTCAACAAAATTGTATTTTTTATGGATCTGAGTTCCTACTGCGATTTATGTTTTGGTAGCTTTTGTCACGTTTCATATATGATTTTGCTTACCCTGCCTGGGTTAGTCTTCCAATTAGAAAATCACTGATAGGTTGCACTGACGAGGCAGCACTGATGTGGTGGGGCACTGGTGGGTATTGATGAAGAGGCACTGATGATGCTGCACTGATGGGCACTGATAGGTGGCAATGATGGGCACTGATAGGTGGCACTGAAGGTCACTAATAGGTAGTACTGAAAGACACTGACTGGCAACACTGACTCGGCAGTACTGACAGGCGCAGACTGGCAGCACTGCTGGCAGCACTGTTGGAACTGATGGGCAGCACAGTTAACACTGCTGGGCACTGATGAGCAGAACTGTTGGGCACTGATGGGCAGCACTGGTGGCACTTTTTGGGGCTACATTGATAATCAGGGCTGCACTGATAATCAGTGCCCTGATCATCAATACAGATGTCTGCTTTGACAGTTGCCAGTTTACTGTGACAGCTTGAGCAAAGTACTGCTGATAACTGGCAAGTGTACTTACATAGCGGTCAGCTGTAATTGGGACACAGCTGATCACATGGAAAAAGGCTGATGTGATTGGCCTTTTACCATGTCATGTGATCAGCTGTGTCCAAAGACACAGAGATCACAGACAGCACTGGGTGTGCGCTGTTTTTGGGGGTGCGAGGGGGGCGCATTCTGTGAGGACATCATATGACGCCCTCCCAGAAGTGGACTACCGCACTGCCAGCTGTCATTCGGCTACAGC